CCCCCCGCTCCGCAATACAAACATAAATTGAGCTGACGCCGTCTCTGCTTCTCCTCCCTGGATAACCGGCGTTGACTCCCCAGCTGCATGGGCTCCTCGGAATCCAGACTGGAACAGACAGCAGCGGCGGTGACTTGAGGGGAGGGGGTAGACTGGAACTGCGGCTGGAAATAGCCCTCCTTCCTCAGCATGTTCTGTCTCCTCTCCAGTCGAAGAGCCGTTTTAGTCAAAGCCTCCCAGGTGTCAGGAGGTTCAAAGCGTGCCAATTCGATTTTTAAAGCTGGAGCAAGCCCCGCTGTGAAGCAAGTCATAAAAGCTTTCTCGCCCCAGTCCAAGTGCTGTTTCAAATGGTTGAAACGATTCAAATAGTCCAGCACACATTCCTTCCCTTGCCGGATAGCATGTAACTCACGGCTGGCATTCTCTTCCTGGAGAGGGTCTCCAAACATCTCCTTAAGAGCGTCCAAAAAGCCAGCATAATTGCTCAGTAAGGGGCTGTTGCAATTAACCAGATTTACTGCCCACTTACCCGCTCGGCCCGACAGCAAACTGATCACAAAAGCCACTTTGCTTTCATCTGTAGCATAAGCAGTTGCAGGCACTTGCTTAAAATAAACTTCAGTCTGCATCAAAAACAGTGGCAAACCATCTTTATCTCCGATAAAGCGCTCAGGGACGATAGCGCGAGCCGTGCGCGGCCCGCCAGCCAGTCCTCCCCCACGGAGTTCATCAAACTGCGCTTTTAACAAAGCTAATTGGTCTGCCAACTCCCCAAGAGATGCCATAACTCCTGCTGGGTTTGTTTCTGGCAGAGTTCAATCTGTCAAGACCCAGGTCAGGCGGCAGAACAAAACGGCAGTGCAGGAGTTAATTGAAGGTGTTTAATGTCTCTTTAACAAAACAAAAGGGCTCTTCACTTCAGAGTAATAAACAAAGGAGCTTGCAGTCAGCAGTAATGTAAACAAACCAGCTTCAGTCAGCGAAAGGAAAGGCAGTCTTTAACACAAACAGGCAGCTTGGCTTCAGCATACAAACATAGTCCAAAACAACGGCAACAAATCAGCAAACAACACTCCGTATGGAGAGCGGTCCAACGAAGATTCTGGGGCAAGGCAGAGGCGTAGTCAGGCAGTCCGAGGGTCAGAACAAGGCACACTCACGAGTCAGGGTCCGGCAGGGATGATCACACGAACAGGAACACGAAGCTGCAACAAGAGCTCACGGCAGGAGTTAACACAAAGCACACAGCATGCGACACTTTGAACTCTGCGATTAGATGGTCCCCAAACTGCTCCTTAAATTTCATCCGAATCGCTGGAGTTACTTTCAGCTGGATCCAACTCCTCAGGTGAATCGAAGCCACACCATTGCTGCCACTCAGCCCTTCGGGCTCCATCCTGCAAGTTAACATCATTAAAACCCTGGAATTCATCGCTAGACGTGGGGGCGTTAAGAACATCCATTACTTCCTGAACTTTAGTCCAGTCCAGCTCTTCGTCTTCGCTGTCAAAGTCTGCACAGTCAGCTACATCTCTCAGATGTTTAGCAACAGATCCCACATCACTATTAGAGCTGCTGGCTACTCTCTTTACACCTCTGTAACCATCTAGCTCCATTTCCTCGTGAGTAAAGCCCTCAAAATCCTCCTCATCCGTAGTCTCTAGAAACAAGTCCCTGATCCTTTTCAGCTGCTGCTGAGCTTCATCATTCTCTAAGCCACGTTTTCTCCTACTACTAGTAGTAGGTGCATCAGACAGACGCTGAGTCTCAACATTTCATTTTTAAATCTATATGCAACATATAGTAAAGTAGCTTCTAAATTTCAGTTGTATCAAATCTTAATTTCTTAAACCAGAAATACATTTTCACAATTACAATTACAAGTAACCCTATCATCATCATTAAAATTGAATAAACCATTTCATATAAACCGAACATTTGCATTTAAACCTTCAAAACATTTGACGAGTTAATAAAAAAATCTTCATATGCACAAGATCTAAAACCATGTTGTTCCCAAATGTTTCCTTCTTTGTTCATTTTCATTACATTTCCATAGCAAAACTTTATTTAACTTTATTTCTCATCAACTAACTTTCAAATATATCACATTTCTTTTGACTTCCCATGTTTGTAACCCATATAAACCCTCATTGTTTTATTTTCTTTATATATCTATGTATCTGAACCCAAATTAAGGTATCCAAATGTTGCATTTATTAAACCACCACTGTATCACATTTCCCTTACATTATCATGAATTAACTTAAACCATAACCAAATCACATTTTCCCATGTATATGTTTCCCCAACATCAGCATAAACTTTTCAAATGTAAAACCTTTATTTAACAGTATAATGATATAATGATAATAAAGTTATACTAGGACTTCTATTTTAATGTTCATAATAAAGAGACAAGGAAAAAGGACAACGGCAGAGGCAGAATACCAAGGGGTTTTGCAGCACTTTGGAAATTTACTGTAAGAAAGAAGTAAGTGTCAAAAGCTTGTGTAGACTAAGGTCTACTTCAGCTCCTCCACACCACCACCTTCTTTCCATCCCTGGCAGAAAACCAGATCTAATGTGTGCCCAGCACTGTGGGTAGGACGAGATACTAATTGAGACAGGCCCATGGTTGCCATGAAGTCCTGAGCCGCTCCTGACAGAGTGATCTCGGCATGAACATTGAAGTCTCCCAGCACTATGAGCTGTTGAGACTCCAGCACCAGGCCCGAGACCAATCCAGCTAGCTCAGGTAGAGAGACTGTAGTGCAGTGAGGCGGACGGTACACTAACAGAATCCCCATCCTGTCTTGGTCACCAACCTTCAGGTAGACATATTCAAAAGTGGTTGACTGTGGGATGGGGCACCTGGTCAGGGGGATGGTATCCTTATAGACTATTTCAGCCCCTCCTCCCCGCCCTCCAGATCTTAATTGGTGCTGTACAGAATAGCCTGGTAGTCAGAGCTGGAGAGATTCCCCCCCCCCCCACCTCATCCAACCAGGTTTCCGTTATACATGCCAGGTCAGCATGTTCTTCAAGGATCAAGTCCTGAATAATAGATGTTTTTCCATTGACTGACCTAGCATTAAACAGCACTACTCTTAGCCTGGAGGGACCGCCTGGGTACTCAGCTTATTTTTATCAGGAGTCCAATTTAGACTTGTAAGGGTTCTTTCATTCACTCTAGGCCAAATTGGTAAATTGGATCTATCACAAATTCTTGGCCAAATTGGTAATTTAAATTCTTCACATATTTCTGGCCGAATTGAGGATTTAGATCTTTCACATGTTTTAGGCTGAATTGGTAATTTGGGTCTCCCTTTCCTGTATCCCCCTCTTCCCGGTATAACCTCGATAGCCCCCCCCCATGCCATCCCCTCTCTCCAGATAGTCCTCCTTCCCTCTCTTCAGCAGATGGTCTAAATAAAACTCCATGTTCCAATGACACATCCTCCCTTCCTGATGACGTGGAGGGGATCCTTGGGACGGTGAGAGTGACCGCTTGCACTCTAGATCCTTGCCTTTCCTGGCTAGTTAAACTGGCCAGAGAGGGGTGATTGGAATGGTTTGTTGCAATAATAAATGCTTCACTGGGCCAGGGGAAATTCCCGTCCTGCCTCAAGCAGACGGTGGTAAAACCTCTATAAAAGAAGACTTCCCTAGACCCGACCATATGTAACAACTACAGACCAATTTCCAATCTTCCTTTTCTGGGCAATGTTCTGGAGCGGGTGGTTGCATCGCAGCTTCAGGGATTACTCGATGACACTGATTTTCTGGATCATTCGCAGTCTGGCTTCAGGCCTGGGCACAGTACTGAAACAGCTTTGGTCACCTTGGTGGATGACCTCTGCAGGGAACTGGACAGGGGGAGTATGACCCTGCTTGTTCTCTAACCCTAACCCTATCCCTTAGTCATCTGTCATCCAAGGTAAACATATCTAGATGGCTACTTTTCTGTTGGAATTCAACTCCACACTGCCTAAGTCTACAGTCCTCAATAAAGAACACTTAGCTTTAGAAGAGGTTGAGGGAATCCCCCCCCCTCCCGCCACGACTCCTTAATGTCAGTTGGACATTCTATTTGCTCTCTCTTTCTTTCTAGTCTGATTGGTGATGTAAAATTGATACTTTTCAGGTTGCATGACCTCTGCGTTTTCTGCCTTTGCAAGCGGACCTCTCTCTGCTTTGTGTGTTTGAAGAGATGTAGTGTTTGGAGGTCTTCCTCTTGTTTAAGCCTCTGAAGAGATGGAGTTCGAGAGAAGCTCAGACCCAATTCTTTTCTATCAAGAAATGTAGTTCTTATATTTTTAAATAAACCTTTTTGAAACTTTAAAGATTGAACTCTGCATCTTCAGTCCCCTCAGGGAGATAGGGCGGAATATATATAAAGTCTTATTTTCTTTGCCTCCTAAGCTCAGAATTCTCTTACAACAACAACACTTCCCCTTTTGCTTGATGTGAGCTGACTGCTCAGTGAAGTATCCTGTTTATGCTTTTGAATGTTATGCTATTTTGGGGAGTTTTTCCTAACTATTTCCAGGTCATTCCTCATAAAGATCGCATCCAAACTATCTTTTGCCTGACACTCCAAATGTACAAGGTCCACCTGCTCCATTGCTTTTCCTTTCTTTTGCTCTTTCAGGTCATACCAAGCCCCTATACCTTATCTTACACACACACACACACACACACACCTCTTACATTCTTACAATCCAATCTCACCCTTTCTTTTTCTTTGTGGACATTTCACCCCAGTCCTCTCTCTTTTCACTATTTCTAAAAAAAAATCGGAGGCTATATGGAGCCCAAAGAAGTCACATGGATGAAGGCCTTGTAGTAAGTTTGCAACCTTCCTGTGCAATGCCTGAAACCAGTCCTCAATAAAGGGAAATTATAAAATGGAAAGTTTAAAATTCATAGGACACTATGTTACTACAGTAGTAAGTGTATGTGAACTTTCCTGGTCACAGGGCCCCCTGACTCATTACCTGAGCAAATCACACCAGCAGCTTCTCCAGATTCACAGGGTCCCCAATCCCTTAAATCGCAGAGTATAATAGAATCCCCTTTCATGATGCAAGAATAAAAGGTTAATTTGATGGGATTATATTTTCTTCCAAAATGGGATCCTCTCAGGGTTGATAAGGCTCTTCCACAGTTTAATGTCCTACAAACAATTTCAGCCGTCTCCAGACTCCAGTTATCATCACAAATGGTATTCCACTGCTGCTCCCCGAACACTTCCAGTCTCCCAGAACATGGACTCGAACCGTTGACCAATCTAATCTG